CGTCCCTGACCCTTGGCCATGCTGACGGGGGTTCAACAACATTTAGCAGACCTCAGGTTCTAAGACCTAGGTCACTGTTGGTCACCTGCAATTTGGCCCTTAAACTGACCTCTCATGGGCTTATACCAACTCTGTTTCTTCCATATTTCTGCAAGGAAGGTGAAACAACCAAGGGAATGCATGTGAGAGATTCATTTCCTAAGAAAGTTTATTATTTTTTTGGAAAAGATGCAGTAAAACCTTTGTGCCGAATAGAAACTCTTTCTGGGACTTAAAAGAGCAAATGTTTCCATTTACTCCGTTGAACAAGCTGGTAAAAATTGCGATCACAAAAGGCTCCATTGTCCTGACCGTGAAATTATTAACGTATTCTTCCTTTGACAGGTGTATTTAAATTCAAGACCATCTCTTTCCTATTGCCTTTCCATCTCTGTTCGCTGTGAATTCAACGGCCTCGTTCCCGACTGTGGCCAGATGCGCTAAGAACCTCTTCCCTATTGATGTGTTTGTAGCGGTTTGTTTGTAAGTACTGACCGCGGACGTCTCAGCCCAGCCGTGAAACTGACCCTGAACACCGTGCCTCTCAGGAGAGAGAGTCACTCTGCAGTAATGAACTTCTATTTCCCTTCCAGGTTTGTTAGCATTTCCTTCATCATCTTGCCAATCATCGGAACCATTTACACCGCTGATGTATGGGAGAAGGCTAAGCGCAGTGAATTGCCATCGGACGGTTTGCCTCCTGCAAATTACGGGAGCACATCTTTCGTTGCAAGAGATGCAAGCGACTCAAAAGCGGAGAGGAAGCATAGTCATGAACCTGTATCAGAAGCGTTGGCCGCAGTTGATGGTTCAAAGCAAAGTAGGCGTTGCATTATTATTAATGGTGATGTTGGTAATTATTTTTATGGCACCTACTGTGAGCAGGAAGCATCACAGAGTGCGGGGCATGGGGAGGGCAGGTCTCCGTCCCGAGGAGTTTACAGTCTATTTTGAGATAGTAGGAGAGGCAACAGAGGGAATCGAGGACAAGGAGGCGGGAGGAAGCCAGCCCTGAAATCTTCAACTCCTGCAGGGTTCATTTGGGTTCAGGTTCAGGATAATTTTAGGAGGATTAAAAATCTCGTTTCAGGTTTCTCTGTGGCAATCTATCAAAAACGTATTTTGAAAGGTATTGAGCTGTATTCCGTGTAGCACCAAGGAACCATCTCCATCTCTCCTCCACTCGCACCCCTCCCCCAAATCTGTTCTGAGTTTCTCCCCCCCAACCCTCCGGGGCAGAGAAGGGGGAAGTCCTGTGGGGCTACCAATAATCTTTGCACAGGCTTCCCTTTGCAGATAGATGTGACTCTAAGTGCTGCCTACGAAGCTTGTAGAAAAGCGCTGTTGTTTGTTTTGGAAGCTGTTTGTCCATTAATTATCCCCCATCATCTGCCAGTCTTAAAATGCGATCCCATGCATGTCTACTCAGAAGTAAGCCCCACGGAGTTAAGTGCGTACATGCTTTCGAAAAAGGACTATTTCTTCACTCTACATGGCAGAACACGTATAATCTACATGGTATAATGAATTAATTTCTGCTGCTTTAATATTCTTAGGTACCTTGGACTGCGTTCTGAAGTGTTTTTCCTTGCAAAACCATCTCCCAGCCATTTGGCTGATGAAACCCTGTAAAGAAGTCTCCTTGTCTCTAAGTGGTATCAGAGCGCTGAGTCTCTTGTGGGTAATTTCTGGGCATACAAGTCAAATGACAGCGTGGCAGAATTTAGGTAGGAGCTGAAGCTACAAAGGCAGATATATTCCTGTTTTAAAGGAAACACAGTGTTCTCTAAATGAGCTCACTACTCATTTCAACTGCTGTTTTATTCCATATTTGACACTCGGGATTGCGGTTCATGGGCTGTGACTTGCTGCTAAATAGCTCTGGCTTTGGGGTTTTTTTTCTTTTTTTTGACAGGGCGATCAGTTATGTGGAGGCAATGAGATTTGTTCAATAGAGAGTTGTAAAGAACAACGAGAGTCCTCACTTGATATATCTCATTCAGTGCATTTCACATCTTTCCTGGCTCCTTTAAGAATGATTATAGGGAGGCTGAGCTGCTGTTTGAACTGGAAAGGACCTTTTCAGTGACCAAACCCAAACTTTGTGATTCTCTGCTTCAGAGAGAAGGATCTGATGTCCTTCCTCCACACTGTGGAAGACCTGTTTGCTTCTGAACTTTGGTTGATAGGATTTCACAGCTTTCCTCTGTTTCTCTCTGTGTGTTTCTCTCCTTCCCTCGTGTGTGTGTGTGTGTGTGTGTGTATGTGTGTAATTTTAGAGGCAGGGAACCTGTGGCTCTCCAGATGTTGCTGAACTCCAACTCCCATAATCCACTGAAGCTGTTAGCCAAGGCTGATGGGAACTGGAGTACAACAATATCTGGAAGCCGGTGAGTTCTCCTCGCCTCTGAGATATAGTGTGTTTCTTTGTCTTTCTTGGCTGCCTTGGACATTTTGGAAATGTGAGATATAAATGTTGTAAATCAATAACATTTGGAAGGGTTTCCTGAACATACATTCTGTAAAAGAAGGATTAAGGACACAGCAGTTAAGAACTTCGACAAGTACAGTACTTCATTGTCTATCTTGAACAAGAACGAATCAACAAGAGGACACTGCTGACTCAGTGTCCCAGATATAACTAAACCTAGTTCCATCTAGTGACACTAGACACATGCCAATTTTCATTCCAGCACCTCAGCCTTCAAGGAGAATAATCACACTACAGTGTGTTTTGTTTCATTTCTTCCTCGCCTTTGAATGGGCACAGGAGGTTGTGTGATTGTTTCCTGGGTTGCCCCAATTTCAATCCAACATTTCAATCTTCAAGACAGGCACACACACTCATCCCTTTGAGCTGGAGAGGAGCAGCAGTTCTAACATTTCAAAACATCCTCTGTCTAACAAATAGTTCCTGTAAGCTTCCAAGAGACATGAAAACATCAGTAGGGCACTGTATTTGCAAAGTTTAGCCTAACGTAAAGTATGAATGCCATAGCCTGAACATTCAAAGATCTATTATTTAAACTGCTAATATTTGTAAGCTGCTTTGGAAATGTATTAAGTGAGAGGAAGGGAACTTATTTTTTAAAAAAACATAGACACAATTGGACCTGATTTGTTCCATGTTTCTCTTCGTTTGCAGAGATATGCTTGAGTTAAGTAGATTTCCAAATATCTCCTGACTATTTATTTCTCTCTCTCTCTTCCTTATATGTTACCACAGATAATGAGTTGGAATGGGAAGCTAAAGTGCTTAAAAACCCTATTTACGTATTTTCTCTAAGTGGACCATTTTATTTAGGCGTTGACACATTTTTTCTCATCAGGTAAGTCAGATGTTAGGGGATGCGGGTGGCGCTGTGGTCTAAACCACTGAGCCTAGGGCTTGCCGATCAGAAAGTCAGCGGTTCGAATCCCCACAACAGGGTGACTTCCCGTTGTTCGGTCCCAGCTCCTGCCAACCTAGCAGTTCGAAAGCACGTCAAAGTGCAAGTAGATAAATAGGTACTGCTCCGGTGGGAAGGTAAACGGTGTTTCCGTGTGCTGCTCTAGTTCGCCAGAAGCGGCTTAGTCATGCTGGCCACATGACCCGGAAGCTGTACGCTGGCTCCCTCGGCCAATAAAGTCAGATGAGTGCCGCAACCCCAGAGTCGGCCACGGCTGGACCTAATGGTCAGCGGTACCTTTACCTTTAAGTCAGATGTTATTCGAAGTTTTTCTCCTATTATTATTATTATTATTATTATTATTATTATTATTATTAAATAACCATCTAACATCTCATGGCAGTGAACCTTGCAAAGTCTATAAAGGTGGAACATGAGACTTATTCCCTGGTAATTATTTGAAGAACTATTGGACAACAACAGGTGTTTTATTCATGCAGGATCTGTAGGACAATAGATCTTGCTGGTAGTCCATGCTGCCTGGCTCTGCTGCTCACCTACTTGACCTCCCCTGCCCCTGGGGGAGCAGGCGCATGGCTGCAACAGAGGCCAACAAGCCCAGGGCAGACTCCATGGAGGGAGGCAAGATCTGCTACCCATCTATCCAGAGCCTGCTGCCCTGAGGCAGCTACCTCACCTTGCCCCATAGGTTCACACCTTGCCCCTATGGGATCCCTTGCCATAGGGATCACATGGGACTGCTGGTGAGCTCAGACAGCCAGGATTGCGTGGGATCCCTGGTTGTTTGAACTGGCACCTTCACCACCAACTACTGTGATCACACAAACTGCGCCCCCTCCTTGTCCATGTTTCATGATGTCTGAGGACATATTTTTCAACAGAATTTTGAGTCAGTTGCTTATTACATTGTGATATCTACTGTGTGTTTTTTTTCTTCATTAGGGCTATTTCGTTTTGGGTATTACATCATTATAACGCTGTGTGTTTTCCTGTATTATTGCATTTGAGTTTATTTTTAATTTTGGGGGGCTTGTTTTTGTTCGTCACTTTGAATACCTCTGTTTGGAAAGGAAACTGAAGGACAGGCATTTTAGAACGGGCGATTAAACCTCCGTTCTTTTTCTCCTCAGTGGCTTTTTGAGCTGCCAGTCCTTTTTGAACATGTTGAATCTCTCTGAAAAACGGATCACCTTTCGCCTCACAGTGAAGTACCTGTGGTGCCGATTTTTCCGGTAACCGTTTGTGAGGGTTTGATCCATGTTTTTGCTATTTATTTTGCATTTCTGTTTTGTTTTTGTGACTGTGTAGAACCCAGTTCAGCTACTGATTGATTGATTGTGTGACTGCAGTTAATTGTTTATTGCTTTCATTTTCTGGATCAATTGTCTCTTTTTGCATTACTTTCTGTGGGAAAGCGTGCCTTGGTTTTGGAATGCTTTGGTTTTGGAAGGGACTTCCGGAACGGATTAAGTTTGAGAACCAAGGTACCACTGTACTATTAATTACTCCAGTTTGCTATTGAGCTGGGCTTGCAAAGGAATGCAGGGATGAAGTTTAAGAGAAGGGAGTCTGCTTTGCAAATGCAATCAGGTTTGAATTTGTTTAACAATGTGTTGAAAACTGTGTGCCTGCATGCAACCTGACCACATCTGCTCTTGTGTTTGTAGGCTTCAGCCGCTCCATATATATTCCTTGTGCCTTTTAATTGGTTTCTACTCTGTCACTCCTTGGGGGACATTTTGGGAGATCTCGAAACTCGAGGTTGATAACTGTAGAAGAACGTGGTGGGCCAACCTACTGCTGATCAACAACTTTATCGCTGGGCAAGAGTCAGTAAGTCTGTACGATGGAATATTTATTGGGGCATTGTGTCATAACATATATTTTAAATAATATATATTAAAAGTATGCATTTGTCTTCCCATTCCTACCCTGTTTTCAGTGTAACGGATGGACGTGGTACCTTGCAAATGATTTCCAGTTTTACTTCACAACTCCTCTGCTGGTCTATATTTCCATGAGGTGAGTATTTCTTCGGCAAGGAACATCCACCATGAGGTTTCCTCGTAATTTATTTATTTTATTTATTTCATTTCTATACCGCTTTGTATTTTCAAGAAAAAAACCTCAAAGCGGTTTGCATCATATTAAAACATCAACAAAACAATCCAGAATCGAACATTTCTGAAGAAAGTCAAATATAGAGTATACAGTCAAAGCAACATAATTAACAGAAAACTAAAATATTATCTTAAAGATTTCAAGATAAAACATTGCAAAGGAAGTCTACTACAGAATACATATTTAACACAAACAAAGTTTACAAAAAAAATTCAAAGGAAAAAAATTGCTAAGTGAAGTCAAATATAAATGGGACAAGGAAGAATGGCAGTTTCCAGAAAAGCCTGCCTAGCCTTCTGCTGTTGCTGCCACCAGAGGGATCTAAGACCCCTCCACCCCACATGGGAGGCACGGATCAGAGTCCTGTTCATCTGAGCCTCTTGGGCTTGCCGATCAGAAGGTTGGTGGTTCGAATCCCCATGACAGGGTGAGCTCCCGTTGCTCTGTCCCAGCTCCTGCCAACCTAGCAGTTCGAAAGCACGCCAGTGCAAGTAGATAAATAGGTACCGCTGCAGCAGGAAGGTAAACAGCGTTTCCACGCACTCTGGTTTCTGTCACGGTGTTCCGTTGCACCAGAAGCAGTTTAGTCATGCTGGCCACATGACCCAGAAAGCTGTCTGTGGACAAACGCCGGCTCCCTTAGCCTGAAAGCGAGATGAGCGCCGCAACCCCATAGTCACCTTTGACTGGACTTAACCATCCAGGGGTCCTTTACCTTATCTTTTAGCATCTGTATCTCTGTGAATTTGTTTTAGAACATGAGAAAACTGTACCAAATGGGACCCATTTGGTCTGTTGCTTTGCTTCTTCCAAGCTGAATTCATGCCTGTGGGTAATTAGAGTGTGAATTATTCTGCTTCCCCTTGGAAAACTAGTATTACTTCAGTTATAACAGGGAAATACATGCTCTCTCAAGCAACCCTTTGAGTATAAAGGTTAGAATTTTTGTTATTAAGTATTTTATCATTTAAATGAATAATATAAAGTCCCCTCCCCCAAAAAAGCCCCATCTGTTGTTTATATTTCTATTTTTGCTTATATTTCTATTGTTTTGGCAGGAGCAAGCAAGGAATTATAATTCTGGGGACTTTGCTGTTCCTGACAACTTTTACAGTGACAGCCCTGCTGTCATCGTTCTACAGGCTTCCTGTTGCAAATCCTCGTGATATGAGGTAAGGTTCTGGAAACTGCCCCATTCAATAACAGGTCACAATAATATGCTGGGAGAGATCCAAAGCGCAGTCAGGAATCTAATTAATCAAGAGAAAGTAACCCTCTGCATGTTATGGGGTATGTCTGAGGTTCTTGAATTTTTGGAAACAGAAGTTGGAATGGAACCCTGAGAAGAAAATTGCCCTTAATGGAGATGTCATCTGACTGACTCACTTCATCTGCCTAATGTGTTTTTCTCCCAACCGATTTTTAAAAAAGGCAAAACCTGTGAATTTTGAGAAGCAAATAAACAGGTGGTGTTATCACACTTCCTTTCAGAGCAGAAGACTTGAGTTATGCCACGTTTGTTAACAGCAGCAACATTCAGACTTGGTTCTCATATATTTTACCTCAGGAGAATCTTCCATTTGAGTCATTTGCCAAATGTTTTTAGATAGGAATAGTTATCAGTTAATGCTCTTTCTCTCCCTTCAAGCCTTCCGTATAATCTTTTTATAACCCGTTTCCAATATGCTTGCAGGAAAACGGCCACCGTGATGTATTTCGCAGAGTATTACTCAAAACCTTACTGCCGATACGGTCCATTTCTAGTTGGCATTCTTCTTGGGTTGTACATGAACCAGCAGCAAACCCCAGTCCTAAGAAGCAAGGTAAATTGGGGGGGGGGCATATTTAACAAACATTTGGGATCCTGTCTGCACAATATGGTTTGATTTCAAACCATATTAACTGCGGTGGCGTCCTCCAAAGAAATCTGGGACAGGTTTGGTGAGGTTTGTGTTGTATTCCAATATGACCAACAGTGCCATTCAGAATATCTGGAACTCTGGATCCCTCCTGAGAATGCATTTGTTGTTGTTTCATTTCTGATCCTTTCCTCAAGTTTAAAACCCACCCCCTTTTTTAATTTACAACAACCAGCTGGTCTGAACTAGCTAGCTCTTTTGTCAAAAGGTGGGACCATCCTCCTGAGCAATTTCTGATTGGCTGTCTCAACCATTTATGTCGGAGATGGAGCTTCTTTCACCATTGGCTCAAACTCCACTCCATCTGAGAAGGGAGACTGGCTTCATGAGGGAGACCGGGGGGGCTTCAGTTGGTCTCAGGATCCCCCCAAATGATGGTGGGGTATCACCCCAATCCCTCCTTTTCCTTGGACCATATGTATTGGGGGACCGAAGATGCTCTGCAGGAGACTAATACCCTCTCAAACTATCTTGTCCTGCAAGGAATTCTGTGCATGCTCTGAAATGCCAAGAGTTGATGGTGGAGATGTATGATTTTCTTTCTTTCTTTCTTTCTTTCTTTCTTTCTTTCTTTCTTTCTTTCTTCCTTTCTTCCTTTCTTCCTTCCTTCCTTCCTTCCTTCCTCCCTCCCTCCCTCCCTCCCTCCCTCCCTCCCTCCCTTCCCTTCCCAAGTTCATTGGTCTTAAAAGGATATTTCTCTAGAAGATCCTCCTCATATGTTAGATGCACTGTTATTAAGGTATCCCTTGTGCTCTGAGGGTAGTTCATAAGGCTGTGAAAGATTTTGTATCCTCTGGGCTTTGGAAGAGTCAATCTAAACCTCCTTACTGGCAGATTTACAGGGCCAACAGCTGGGGTAAAATGCCACCCACTGTAATGCAAGTGGATGATGTGCTGTGTGTGTCATGCTATCCACACTTTTCTTTTAGAGGGCAGAAAGGTATCACTACGGCTTGATCCCCATAATGGGGGCTCCTTCCAGTATGAGGAATAAAAAATAAAAACAAGCAGGAACTGCAACAAAAACGTTGCAGTGCAGAGTGCTCCTGTTCAGGGTTCCGGCAGCCAATCCTGCTCTCTTCCAAGATACGCCATTCCTCCTCTCCCCAATGTTCTATCCTCTCCCAAGAGTTGGTTCGTATTCTGTTCCCTGTCTTTGGTTCCCTGCCTTCACAGGCAGCCATACAAATTGAAGGTTTTTTTTTTCTTTTTAAAAAAGGATACTTCCACAAAACTTGGGGTCCCTCCAGACTGACTGGTATTTCCCTTCCTGTGCCTTGATGGATCCATGCTCAAGGAATTAATTTTGCTATTACAATATATGATGAAACCAAGAAGGGATGAGTCCATTTTGCACAAGCAACGTCATTCTACTGCTGTGAGCCGTTGATGAAGGGTTCCTGGAGCACTGCTTGTTGATCTGACAAATGAGGGAGCTCCTTTGATTCCAAATATTCAAGCCACCTGGAAGTGCTGTGCAAAATATTACCACTGGGGCGAGTGTTGCCTTGAAGTGATCCCACTGCAACCTGGGGAGAGAGAGAGAGTGAAAGCAGCCTTGATCTGCCAACGAGAGAAGTTGGCGCGTTTTGTGGCACACAATAAATGGGGAAGGTTTTGGCAAGGGGAGCAGCAGCCTCGAGAGGAGAGCAAGATGCAGTTGCAGCATCTAAGGGAGACTTTGTAGTTAAAATGAACACCATAAAAACACGAGGGACCCACAGTCTTTAGAACAGCCATGTCATGTTCCAGTTTTGAGTGGAGCTGCCTTGCTGGGTGAGAAGTGTTTGTCTCCTCTCCCTTTTGTGTCCTGCATGCCACTTCCCCAGACCTAAATTTGTAACCTGTGGTTATTATGCAGGGCCCAGGGAGGGTCCTTGGTTTTCCTATTCACCCAGGTATTTGGTGGCTGAAATATTCTGTTCCTGGCAACCTTGAAATTACTCCATTGTGAGGATTTGTGACTGTTTCAAGATGTTGTTGTTGTTGTTGTTGTTGTTGTTTTTTAAAATTTTGTCTTTGCAATTTTGTTGTTTGTTGTCTTAGGGAGGGAGGCTGGGATAATATTAATTCTTATTATTTATTATTTATGAAGGAAGAAGCTAAATTTATTTTGATTTTGGGTAATGCATGCATATATCATAGTAAGCATCGTTTGAGAAGAGGAATTCCCTCCTATGAGAGAGAAGTGTCTTTCATCTGCAGTTTTTTAGAAGTTCTTTAATTAAAATAAGCACTTTTTACAATTCTCCTCTACATCAGTTGGTTTATTTTGTTCAATTAATCTAACTGGTTATGATGCATTAAAGACAGCGGGCCTAAAATATATGTATATTTTATTATTAAGTGCCTGAAAGCTGAGTAACTGAACTGAGTAATCTAAACATGTCAGTTTGCATTCCTTAGTGCAGAAAGTATTGATCTGATGTGTAAAGATCTTTCCTATTCTAATTAATTCAGGAGGGTTCTGGAAGCTTCTCTGTGTGAAAGAAACAAGCAAAAGGTTCATGATGTTTGGGTTATTCCTTCCGAGAAGCTGAGTACAGCTGGCTTAAACTGGTTCAGTTATCTCTTCTGTCAAGGTCATGCTGACTATTAAAGTTAGGGCCAGAAGGAGCCTGGATTTCACTTTCTCTTTCTATCTCCTTTCCTTCTGGTGTGGTGCTCTGTATATAGTGTTTAGACTTATTGTACGTTTAAGTTAAGTCTGCTGCAACTGGATTTCTTATGGACAGGGCCAATCCTGAATGTATTGGACTTGTGACCATTATGCTCATTTGCCTTCAGAAGCAGTAAAGCTCTGCTGGATGAAATTGCCTCTGGTCTATTTTTGGGGAATCCTGCAACGTGTTTAAGTTTTTACTCTGCTAACTATGCATTGGAATCTACTCTGGATCAATATTGAGTAGAATTTCAATGACAAAACATCCATTCAGAGGAGCATGGAAAGAGACCACCAGCAAGGCATTGTAACAGCTGACAGAGGCAGCGCTGGATTTAGGGCAGTGCATGCAATTGCCCCGCACAGGGCACTGAGCTGAGGGGGCGTAAAATAATGATGATGATGATGATGATGATGATGTTACCAAAGTCTGTCCATGACAGAAGAGACAGGAAGAGAAGGCCTGAACATTCCATTGAAAGAGAAGCAAAGTCGCTTTCCCCAAAACGACCAGAGTCAGGTGGAATTATCCTAATGAACTAAGATGCAATCAAAGGTCTCGTTCTCATGTTTCCGCAGGTGCAGGCTTCCATTGGATGGCTTTCTGCAACATTTTCCATGTTTATGGTAGTTGCTTTGGCCTATGCGTTACAAGACCCCCTACACTACTCACCTGCCACAGCCATTTACCAAGCTACTCACCGGACAGTGTGGGCTATCGCTGTGGGATGGATAATTTTTGCGTGCGAGGAAGGCTATGGAGGTACTCTACAGAGCAGGAATGGGGAACCTCACGCCCGGGCAGTGGGGCGAATGTGACTCTCAGAGCCTCCCCATCTGGCCCTCAGGAGTGGGGATTTGAACCTTGGTCTCCCAGGTCCAATCCGATCCGATCTGAGCCTAGGGCTTGCCAATCGGAAAGTCAGTGGTTCGAATCCCTGCGACAGGGTGAGTTCCCATTGCTCGGTCCCTGTTCCTGCCAACCTAGCAGTTTGAAAGTACATCAAAGTGCAAGTAGATAAATGGGTATCGTTCTGGCGGGAAGGTAAACAGTGTTTCCGTGCACTGCCCTGGTTCGCCAGAAGTGGCTTAGTCATGCTGGCCACATGACCCACATGTCTGCGCCAGCTCCCTTGGCCTATGGAGTGAGATGAGCGCTGCAACCCCAGAGTAATCGACGACTGGACCTAACGTTAAGGGGTACCTTTACCTTTACCTTTTAGGTTTCATCAATTGGATGCTTTCATGGGGCTTCTGGTCGCTGGTTGCCAAAATCAGCTATGCCTGCTACTTGGTCCACCCAATGTTGATTTTGTTGTATAATGGACTTCAAGAAACGCCCATGCACTACTCGGACATGAATATGGTGAGTGATTAAGGATAGATGGATCTGTCCGTTTTGGTTCTCTTCAGGATCTCGATTTTCCAAATTTTCAATTCAGTTCCTTGCATTTCTGCAGCAATTTGAGATTTGTGTGTGTGTGTATGTTTAAACTCCTCTTGAAAATTTGTCAGCCTTTTCGTGCAAATTTCACATTTTTGTGGGAAGTTTTGCCAAACACACACATTCTTTCAATCTAGTACACGTTGGTATGTTATTTTCACTAATATATACACTTTTATGCATATTTACACTAGTATGGTTTTATTTGGGGGGGGTGTGAGCACATTGCTTGGCTGCAGAACTGCATTATGATCAGAGAAAAAAACTAAAGCTCTGTCTCTCTCATAGCTTGCATTAGCCTGCATCCAGCCTAAGGCTATGCAGCTGCTGTAGAGGCTTCATTATCACATCTTTCTCTGGCTGTGCCTGGGAACAAAAGACTAAGAGGCACTCCTTTTCAAAATGAAGATTTGAAATTGAATACCTTAATCACATGATCTAATACTTGGTTGTCATATTTCAAATCTGGTAACAAAGCTTGTTGACCTTGTTTTGGGGGGGGAAAACCCCCAAATTGAAGGCTTTCTATGAAAGTCACCAAAATAATCACACTTACAACATGGGTTGCCATAAGCCTGGGTTTCCCCGGACATTTAATCAATTTTTGGAAATTCCTCCTGAACCCAATTTCCGAAGTACAAATCCTGGATATGTCTTGGGAATTCTGGACGTATGACAGCCCTATCTAAGGTTAAACACTCAGATGAGAGCTAGCAGAGAACAGCAGTTGATCAATTATCAACCTGTCAGAGCTCAGAGAGCTTCAGTACGCTTCAGTGGCATGTCCCAATGTTAAACCCTTTCAGCAATATGCATGCAGCCATTCTCCAATTTTGCAGTTGAACAATTATGCTGAACAGATCTGCCCTTATTTCCGTTTGCACTTATCTTTTTAGTTCTATCTGTTCCTTGGACACTGCCTGATGACATTCATGGTTGGGCTGGCATTGACGGTGATGGTTGAGATGCCTCTGCAAGCGTTAAGGCGGGCTGTGCAACGACAAGTGGTTCAGCTGTGAAGGAGGAAGCAGGAAAGGTGTGATGTCTTTAACCCCCCCCCACCATACCCATTCCCTTTGAAGGAGAGGCTCTTCTGCTGTGCTCCAGAAGAACTGTATAGTGATGAAGATCTGAACTTTTGCACGATGAAGATCTGAACCAGGCTCTTCAGCAGTGATGTGGCTAGGGAATTTCAGAAAATCTGGAATAAATGGTCTTGCCAGGCCTCCCCTTTAATGACCAATTGTGAAGCACACAGCTAACACCCCTCTTCTCTTCATTGTTGTTGTTCCATGTTTTGCAACTACTTCTACATTCCTGCTATGTTACAGTGAACAAATGGTTTACCAACCCTAGTTAAAAGAAAAGAAATACTCTGAGCCCATGCAGTTCCGCATTTTAAATTCACTGAAATCAGTTGTTCCTAAACATTTTCGGGCCTCCGCCCCCTTGGCTCCATAAACTCACCCCCAGTGCCCCCTGACCTATAAAATGCATTACAGTGGTACCTCAGGTTAAGTACTTAATTCGTTCCGGAGGTCTGTTCTTAACCTGAAACTGTTCTTAACCTGAAGCACCACTTTAGCTAATGGGGCCTCTTGCTGCTGCCACGCCGCCGGAGCACGATTTCTGTTCTCATCCTGAAGCAAAGTTCTTAAACCAAGGTAATATTTCTGGGTTAGTCTGTAACCTGAAGCGTATATAACCTGAAGCGTATGTAACCCGAGGTGCCACTATATTCACAACAGCAGTTTGCACGACCCACTAAGGAATATAATAACACAATAAAATTCAAAACAGTAACAATTAATTTTATCCAAAATCCAATTAAAACTGTTTAGCTTCCTTATTTCAACAAACGAACACTATTCCAGTGATGCCAACTTTTCGGAGTCTGAAAGTCATTCACACCTCCAGTGACCTCCCCACCTGCTTGCCTCTTAGGGCCCTCCCCTGTATGGGAAATGCACCCGGGAGACAAAAATGTATGGAGGAGTTAGTGATCCTACACGGTTACCCTTCCTGCCTCTGTTCCTTCCCACTCCCTCGCTCTTGTTAAGTTCTTTGATGGTGTGAGAACAGTCTTTAATGTCCTGAGAACGTTGGGAGGAGGTGAAGTCCCACAAACAGCTGCCTTAATCAGTTGGGGAGGATAATGCTGGGTACCTTCTTTGATGTTGGACATTGTTTTGAGAAAGTGAGGCATTAGGAGGGGGTGGCTAATGGATGATCTGCACGTAGCCAGTCTTGGAGAGTCAGTGTGGTGTAGTGGTTAAGAGCGGTAGACTTGTATTCTGGTGAACCGGGTTGCATCTCCGCTCCTCCACATGCAGCTGCTGGGTGACCTTGGGCTAGTCACACTTCTCTGAAGTCTCTCAGCCTCACTCACCTCACAGAGTGTTTGTTGTGGGGGAGGAAGGGAAAGGAGGATGTTAGCTGCTTTGAGACTCCTTCGGGTAGTGATAAAGCGGGATATCAAATCCAAATTCTTCCTCTTCCTCCTCCTCCTCCTCCTCCTCCTCCTCTTCTTCTTCTTCTTCTTCTTCGAAACCACACAGGCTATCTATAAAATCAGACGGTTTGGGCAGAGTTTCTTGAAAGTTCGTGCATGGACTGATTGGCCGCAGGGCCGTGCAAACCGAGGCTACCTGGGGAATCACTTCACCGCTTCTTGAGGGCTTCGAAGTTGTAGATTGAAGTGCTTGCTTGGTATCCTATACATTGCCCCGCTGTTTTAGAATAAAATATTTAATCTTCTCACTCACTTGTGTATTTTGTATTGCTTCTGAATCTCATTTTAAAAGAACTACCTTGCCTTTGGCAAGACACCCCCCTCCCCAGGTAATCCTAACACCCCTCACTAGGGGATGTTTCCTCCCACTTTAGGAACCCCCAGTTTAATTCATAGCACCCTCCTGGCTACAGGAATAAAACAGGAGTTTGCTCCTCTTGACCTGATGCTAATTAACACATCGCCTTGGGAATAAATGGCATTTTGTATGTAGAACCTAGAATTGTAGAGTTGGAAGGGACCCTAAGGATCATCTCGGACAACTCCCTGAAATGCAGAAATATGCAGCTGTCTCCTGGGGATTGAACTCATGTAGAAAAGGTTAATATATATTTTTAGAGTAAAAATATCAAAATGGGCATCTTGTAACCAGGTGCACACTTGGCTGGTCATCCCGACTATCTATTTATATCTATCTATCTATCTATCTATCTATCTATCTATCTATCTATCTATCTATCTATACAGAAGAGGAAAGGAAGGAAGGAAGGAAGGAAGGAAGGAAGGAAGGAAGGAAGGAAGGAAGGAAGGAAGGAAGGATGCTATAGGGACTAGCACAGGCAAACTTGGCCCTCCAGATGTTTTGGGACTACAATTCCCATCATCCCTGACCACTGGTCCTGTTAGCTAGGGATCATGGGAGTTGTAGTCCCAAAACAACTGGAGGGCCAAGTTTGCCTAGGCCTGGACTAGCATCAGCCCCAGAGGGCCTTTGTACACACATCCTAACCCAGGTGCTGATGACGATTAGGCAACTTTGTAGAGGCTCCTAGCCATGATGGTTGTATCTTTCTCAATAGCAGTCGTTGGAAATCACAGGAGGGGAGTGTGCTCCTGTGTCTGGGTCCTGCTTGTGAGTTTCCTGCAGGTATCTGGTTGGCCACTGTGAGAACAGGTTGCTCAGTCCCTTGGCCTAATCCAACAGTTCTTTAATGGGACTGTTTGCTGCTGCCGCCCCCCTAATCACCTGCCACTCTCTGGGTGGTCATTTTGGGGTCTGTGTTGCCCTGGACTTTGCCCAATCCGCACCAGTCCTCTTCAGTTCTCCTTTCAAATTTCTGTCGCCCATCTTAACTGGCTTTGCAACTATATACAGCTTAGTGCATATTTCAGCTTGTTTTCTATTTAAACGCGTGTTGCTTTAGAGAAACAAAACTAAAACAAGTTTCTCAACTGCATTATTAAGTGTTCCCTTCTCACCTTCCCAAGAGCCAAGCATTCCTATGAAGGTCAAACTTTGCCCTTAGGTTTTCGCATGTGGGATCAACTGGGCACAATCTTCTCCCCGTGTGCTTAGCCTGCATTGATTGGAGGTGTGAACAGGACAGTGTGAACTTCAGGCAGTGAGTTGTCAAGGAGGCAGAGCCCTGAATTCTAGCTTGGTGTTATCTTTTTCTCTGGCTGGGTGGAGTTTATATCGAGCAAAACAAAAGTCACTTTTACTTACATAGGAAGATGCAGCAGCTTCTATATCCTATATCTATTGGTCAGCCAGTTATATGGCCAGTGCTGATTCAGATACTAACCCAGTATCAGATATTAACACCAGGGGTAGACTTTTGTCTTTCAAATTTCAGCGGCAACCAAGTGAATGATGTGTTTAGGAGTGACAAGAAAGTAGGATTTACTGATAAAAAATCTAAATTCCAAATTGAACTATTAGAAGGCAGGACTAAATTATTATCTAAAATGTACAATTTTTTATAAGAATGGTATACAAAAGATGAACAGAGGTGATGATAAAATGGGCAATGGATTTTGGATATAACATTGAGTATGATGCTTGGGTAAAATTGTGGAATGAGAGCTTAAAATTTACAGCATGTACCACCTTAAGAGAGAATATAATGAAAATGATGTACCGTTGGTACTTAACACCTGTTAAATTGGCAAGAATGTATAGGATGAGTAGTAAGATATGCTGGAAATGTAAAGATAAGGATGAAGATTTTTACCACATGTAGTGGGCATGTGAGAAAATGAAACAGTTTTGGGAATTGATTTATAACGAATTGAAAAAGATGTTCAAGTATACTTTCCCCCAAAATCCGGAAGCTTTTCTGCTAGGCTTGATGGGAGAGGAAATAGAAAAAGCAGATCAAAGGTTATTTATGTATGCTACGACTGCTGCTAGAACTTTGTTAGCCCAAAAATGGAAAACACCAGATTTACCAACAGTGGAGGAGTGGCAGACGAAGATGGTGGATTATGCGGAACTGGCAAAACTGACCTGCAGGATCCGAAACCAGGAGGAAACAAAATTCCAAAGAGATTGGTGTAAATTTATGGTTTATGTAAATAATAACTGTAGAAATTTGAAGACACTAGCAGGACTGAAATAAATCTTACGACGTGGACTGGATATAATAAGAAACTGTGGAAAGGAGACTGAAGTAAGAAAACCTGTTGAAGGGAGGGAGGGAAGTCAACACTTGACAGAGTGTTGGGAAAGAATGTGGGGAGATGCCTGATGAATATTACTGCACTTTGTTTGTGTGAAATGTAAAATCAATAAAAAGCATTTTAAAAATAAATAAAAGTATGCTGGATGAAATATTCTTTTTAAAAAAAAATTCAGTGGCAACCTGTGCGAGGCCACAATTTGGCACACCCACCTTTCCCTTTTGCTCTGCTCAGTTGTGTAGTTGTGCTACCCTGCAGTGCCCCCTAAGTTTAGTGCTCAGTGTGGCAGAACTGGTTGTGCTGCCCTACACTTTCTCCTCCCTAAATCTGGATAATGCTCTGAAAATCCAAATAGGAGAGCTATTTGGACTGCCTTGGGAATTTCAGAAAAATTGGACAAGGGGGAATTAAAGGTGGCACTAGGGCAGGCTTCCTCGACCTCGGCCCTCCAGATTTTTTGGCCTACAACTCCCATGATCCCTACCTAGCAGGACCAGTGGTCAGGGATGATGGGAATTGTAGTCTCAAAACATCTGGAGGGCTGAGGTTGAGGAAGCCTGCACTAGGGGTTCACAATCTGCATTAAGCCAAGGTATGGACGGGCTCTTCGTCTGAGCAGAACCCACAGCTGAAGCTGTTTTCTTTTATTCTTCATAACTTCCCTATACCCTGCACTAATATTTCTGAAAAGCTGCTGATTCCTTTCCTAAGGGCACTTCTGTATGGTATGTCTTTGTCATACTAAAACCCTGCTCGCAAAACCACAGCAAGGCTTCCACCCCTTTTGAAAGTCCCACCTTTCCCCTATTAAACGTCTGCCCTCCGCATGTCACTGAAGTGACAATTGGCCATGATGTCTGGGGATGATGGGAGCTGGAATCTCAAAAAACAAACAAAAACAAAACACCTCTGGAGGTCATTGCATTGGTATGAATGAATGAACTTTATCACGGTCTCAGACCAGGATTAAAAAAGCATATAGATAAAATAGCAGTTGGGATTTTTTTAAACCGATAATTGTTAGAGCAAATGAGGACAAGGAAACAGGCATAGGATAAAACATCTGGATAAAATACAAGATTAAACACAGATAAAGGATGGATAAAAAACTGATAATTAAAACAGATAAGAACTAAAAACAAACAAGGACACGCAGTTAAAACAACTGTAACAGCATAAGAACTAAAAGACTCGCAGTTAAAACAACTATAAGAGGCTGCAGAGTAAAAGCCTCTTAAATAGAGGACACTCACAACATTAGAAACTGCTGTGCAGATATGGTTAAAACAAACAATTAAAACAATGTACAACACTGA